AACGGTCGCTATTTTTGGGCTAGGCACTGTCGGTCTCGCGGTGAGTCTAAGGTTTGTGGTGGTAAGCTCCCCTCGTTTAGAGACGTCTCAAAGCAAGGTTATTGTCACACGCACTGTCGATCTGGTGGTGAGTTTTAAGGGCTTTGGTGGTGGTAAGCTCCCCTTGCTATTTGGTTTTTGAGAGTTCTCAAAAACTTTGGTGGTAAGCTCCGCGTGCTATTTGTGTGTGCTGTGTCTTGCGTCATAGGCCCATGAGTTCTTTCGGGTGTGCCGTGTGTGGCTGGCAGGTGGCGGAGGGTGCAAAGGCGGCCAAGGCATCTCGCATCATTGGGGTTGATATTGACCCTTCCAAGTTCGACACAGGTGTGCTGTGACACGTGGGATGTGCAGTAGTAGCTATGTTGACCCATGCCTCAAATGACGCAGAGGCGGCCACGGCATCTCACGTCATTTGGGTGGGCTTGACCCCTCCAAGTTCGACACAGGTGTGCGATGAAGCATGGGGTGCATGTGGCAGTGGTAGTGGGTGTATGGTCAGCATTCTCCCTAGTGGCCTGGTGTTGTTGACGCGCCTCTATAGTGGTAGTGGATGGGTGCTCAGTGTGCTTCCTGTTGCCCTTTGTAAGAGCAGAGGGGGCCAGGGCAGACCGTGTGTAATGAGTCTATTTTTGAGTCGACTGAAAAATAGACTCATTACACACGGTAGTGGATGGGCGCTCATCCCCCACTGGAAAATGGACTCATTACGAACAGTGGGGGCCAGGGCAGACAAGGCGTCTCGCATCATTGGGGTGGACTTGACCGCTCCAGGGCACCACAAGGGGTGGGGCGAGTCGGTGGTCAACGGACTCCCTTCACCTGCCTCGTTCTCTCTTTCCCTTCCCTTTCTCTCTCTCTCTCTTTTACTCAGTCTTGTGCAGCCAAGGGGTTTGGTGTGAGCGTGTTTGTGAGTCCCAAGGACCATTTTGAGCCCATCCAGGAGGTGCTAGTGGGTATGGCAGACGGGGGCGTGCACTACAGTCTACAGCTTCCAAGGGTTGTGCTGCAGTGCACATTGGCTCATCCCTCGTTTGCTCTCTGCCCTCCTTTCCTCACTCTCTTTCCACAGTGGAGTGGACTACAGCTTTGAGTGCATCAGGAACTTGGGGTGTCAGCAGTGCTGCCACAAGGGGTGGGGCGAGTCTGTAGTCAACAACAGGCTCCCTTCCGCTGCTTCGTTTTCTCTCTCCCTTCCCGTTGTTGCAACAAGGGGCGGGGGATTCACTTATTTCTCTTTCTTTGTGCAGCTAAGGACTTCGGTGTGACAGGGTTTGTGAATCTCGAGGACCATTCCAAGCCCATCCAGGAGTTGACCTCACATACGGCGGTGTGGACTACAGCTTCGAGTGCATCGGGAATGTCAACGTCATACAGGCGACGCTGGAGTGCTGCCACAAGGGTGGGGCGAGTCGGTGATCAACAGACTCCCTTCCTCTGCCTCGTTTTCCCCTGCCCTTCCCTTCCTTTCTTCTCTTTCACCGTCTCTTGTGCAGCCAAGGACTTTGGCGTCACCGAGTTTGTGAACCCCAAGGACCACAGCAAGCCCGTTCAAGAAGTGATTGTGGATCTCACAGATGGCGGTGTGGACTACAGCTTCGAGTGCATCGGAAACGTCAACGTGATGCGATCGGCCCTGGAGTGCTGCCACAAGGGGTGGGGCGAGTCGGTCATTATCGGCGTGGCAGCGGCGGGGCAGGAGATCTCCACTCGCCCCTTCCAGCTGGTGACAGGAAGGGTGTGGCGCGGCACGGCGTTCGGGGGGTTCAAGAGCCGCACGCAAGTGCCGGAGCTGGTGGAGAAATATATGAACAAGGTGAGTTGGGCTTGATTGCTGCGCCTAAAAGCTGGGCGTGATTGCTTTCTAGTTTTGAGGCGCCTCAAAGCTGGGCTTGAATGCTGTTTAGTTTTGAGGCGCCTCAAAGCTGGGCGTGATTGCTTTTTCGTTTTGAGGCGCCTCAAAGCTGGGCTTGATGCTTTTTAGTTTTGAGGCGCCTCAAAGCTGGGCTTGAATGCTGTTTAGTTTTGAGGCGCCTCAAAGCTGGGCGTGATTGCTTTTTATTTTTGAGGCGCCTGAAAGCTGGGCGTGATTGCTTTTGAGTTGACTCAAGAGCTGGTGGAGAAGTATATGAACAAGGTGAGTTGGGCTTGATTGCTGCGCCTAAAAGCTGGGCGTGATTGCTTTCTAGTTTTGAGGCGCCTAAAAGCTGGGCGTGATTGCTTTCTAGTTTTGAGGCGCCTCAAAGCTGGGTTTGATTGCTTTTTAGTTTTGAGGCGCCTCAAAGCTGGGCTTGATGCTTTTTAGTTTTGAGGCGCCTCAAAGCTGGGCTTGATGCTTTTTAGTTTTGAGGCGCCTCAAAGCTGGGCTTGAATGCTGTTTAGTTTTGAGGCGCCTCAAAGCTGGGCGTGATTGCTTTTGAGTCGACTCAAGAGCTGGTGGAGAAGTATATGAACAAGGTGAGTTGGGCTTGATTGCTGCGCCTAAAAGCTGGGCGTGATTGCTTTCTAGATTTGAGGCGCCTCAAAGCTGGGTTTGATTGCTTTTTAGTTTTGAGGCGCCTCAAAGCTGGGCTTGATGCTTTTTAGTTTTGAGGCGCCTCAAAGCTGGGCTTGATGCTTTTTAGTTTTGAGGCGCCTCAAAGCTGGGCTTGATGCTTTTTAGTTTTGAGGCGCCTCAAAGCTGGGCTTGATGCTTTTTAGTTTTGAGGCGCCTCAAAGCTGGGCTTGATGCTTTTTAGTTTTGAGGCGCCTCAAAGCTGGGCGTGATTGGGCGTGATGCGCACTGGTTTGGAGGTCTGGTGACTTTTGAGTCGACTCAGAAGTCACCTCTTTTGAGTCGACTCAGAAGTCACCTCTTTTGAGTCGACTCAGAAGTCACCTCTTTTGAGTCGACTCAGAAGTCACCTCTTTTGAGTCGACTCAGAAGTCACCTCTTTTGAGTCGACTCAGAAGTCACCTCTTTTGATTCGACTCAAAAGTCATCTCTTTTGAGTCGACTCAGAAGTCACCTCTTTTGAGTCGACTCAGAAGTCACCTCTTTTGAGTCGACTCAGAAGTCACCTCTTTTGAGTCGACTCAGAAGTCACCTCTTTTGAGTCGACTCAGAAGTCACCTCTTTTGAGTCGACTCAGAAGTCACCTCTTTTGATTCGACTCAAAAGTCATCTCTTTTGAGTCGACTCAGAAGTCACCTCTTTTGAGTCGACTCAGAAGTCACCTCTTTTGAGTCGACTCAAAAGTCACCTCTTTTGAGTCGACTCAGAAGTCACCTCTTTTGAGTCGACTCAGAAGTCACCTCTTTTGAGTCGACTCAGAAGTCACCTCTTTTGAGTCGACTCAGAAGTCACCTCTTTTGAGTCGACTCAGAAGTCACCTCTTTTGAGTCGACTCAGAAGTCACCTCTTTTGAGTCGACTCAGAAGTCACCTCTTTTGAGTCGACTCAGAAGTCACCTCTTTTGAGTCGACTCAGAAGTCACCTCTTTTGAGTCGACTCAGAAGTCACCTCTTTTGAGTCGACTCAGAAGTCAACAAGGAGAATTAGACATGCTCTGGGTTAGACATGCTCTGGGTTAGACATGCTCTGGGTTAGACATGCTCTGGGTTAGACATGCTCTGGGTTAGACATGCTCTGGGTTAGACATTCTCTGGGTTAGACATGCTCTGGGTTAGAGATGCAGTGGTTGAGAGATGTTATGGAGAGCTGCCACAAGGGGTGGGGCGAGTCAGTGATGACTGGAGAGGCGGCTGCTGGGCAGGAGATCTCCACGCGGTGGCGGCGGGGCAGGCGATTTCCACACGCCCCTGTCAGTCAGCTGGTCACGGGGCGGATGTGGCGCGGCACGGTGTTCGTGCGGTTCAAGAGCCGCACGCAATTGCCGGAGCTGGTGGAGAAATATATGGGCAAGGTACTATGGTTGCAGTGTGCACTGGGTGTACGCTTGGTGTATAAACAAGGTATGGGATCCCTTCCAACTGGTCACGAGGCGTGTGTCTTGAGTCCACCCTCTCATTCCTCTCTTCCTTTCCCCATCTTCTTGTCCTGTACCTTGGTATCAGGACACTAAGTCTCACAAGTAAATCACACACTGTCTAACTCTTGCATTTCTTCCTCTGGAATCTCTGTAACCCATCCTCTCGAGTCGCCCGGAAACAGGAGCCGAAGGTGGACGAGTACATTTTTGAGGCGCCTCAAAAAAGGTACATTACGCACAACCTCGTTCTCACCGCCTCCCCACCTCCATCCACCCGCCTTGCTGTGTCACTCGGTAACAGGAGATCAAGGTGGATGAGTACATCACGCACAACCTGCCCCTGTCGAAGATCAACGAGGCCTTTGACCTGCTGCACGGGGGCAAGTGCCTGCGAGCCGTGATCCACATGGAAGAGGAGGAGGGCAAGTGACGTGCTGTCTGTGGAAAGATTTTTGAGGCGCCTCAAAAGCCGCCATCCACATGGAAGAGGAGAACAAGTGATGTGCTGTCTGTGGACAGGGACTACATTGGTGGCTTCAGTGGTGTTGAGAAGGCTTCAAGGCAACCTGCCCCTCTCCAGGATCACTGCCACCACTGAGGCCTTTGACCTGCTGCACGGGGGCAAGTGCCTGCGTGCCGCCATCCACATGGAAGAAGAGGGCAAGTGACGTGCTGTGGGAAGGGAGGGGCTATACCAGTGCGAGGGTACTGCAGAGCGGGGTTTAGAGCCATGTCCCGATAGCTAGGAAGAAAGAGGGGGTTGACCTGCTGCATAGGTGGGAGTGGCTGGGCCATCCCCCATCCCGCTGCAAGTTGTGATTCACGTAGTGACTGATGGGCGTTGTGCACAGAACTTATCATACCATGCCATTCTCTGCTTGACTCGTTGCTGGTTGAATTCCTTTCCCCGTACCTTTGAAGGCTTTGCCTACCGCGCTGGACTCTGTTCTTCAGACGTGATGGCACGAATGATATTGATTACAGATTTGAGGTGTAAACATGTGATATGCCGCATAAATGCTGGACACACACCCACCAAGCCTCCTTTCTAAACAGCAGATTTACTGTATGTGGTCAGTATTGTTCCTACAGGTGTAACAGTCTCAAGGGAACGGGCTGAGGACAGAGGTGCTGGATCTGCTAACGAGCTGCATTCACTATTCTAGAGAGATGGTATAGAGAGCACATCCACCCCAGGGATGGTAGTGACCGGGGGGATATGCCAACCAGTGCTATGAAGTGACCAATCAGTGCACAAATGAGCTGAGTTGGCTATTATAGAGAGGGCGTCCATCCCAGGGATAGCAGAGGTGGATGTGCTAGTCCTGTGAGGGGATGCACCGTTACCTATCAACGTACTAGTGAGCTGAATTGACTATTTTAGAAAGGGCATCCATCCCGGGGATAGCGGAAGCGACGGTGGATGGCACGGATTGATGGGGGGTTGGGACGATCAAGACCGCACAGTTGGCTGCATGTGCCACGTGGTCACTCACACTCCCCAATAACACTCTGAAATGAGGGTGGGGGAGAAGACAGGGGCCAAGGGGGGAAGAGAAGGGAGCGGTAGGCATATGAAATCGAAGCACTACTGCACATTTGACAGCGTGGGAAACGTGGGTCACTTAGCCCCACAGATCGCAACCTGGTGAAGGGAAGGGAGAAATGGAAGAGAGGCAGGCACCCTGTGAACAATCATCTTGGCAGGAAAACCAAAAAGGATGTCTGAACCCGGAATCGAACCGGAGACCTCCAGTGTGTGAGACTGGCGTGATAACCGACTACACCATCCAGACATGTTAGGCTGCAGACAGAAAACAAATCGATCTTATAACACAGCGACAAAGTGGCAGGTTGGAGAAGGGGGTGGGAGAGGGGGGTGGGAGAGGGGGGTGGGAGAGGGGGGTGGGAGAGGGGGGTGGGAGAGGGGGGTGGGAGAGGGGGGTGGGAGAGGGGGGTGGGAGAGGGGGGTGGGAGAGGGGGGTGGGAGAGGGGGGTGGGAGAGGGGGGTGGGAGAGGGGGGGTGGGAGAGGGGGGTGGACCACCCAGAGGTTAGTCCAAATAAAGGACAGAGCTGTTTGCAGATGGCTGGGTGCTAAGGGGAGAGTGGGAACTCATCATGTGTCAATACCCCGCCTGGGGAACCCTGCATGGAAATAAGGCACGTCCATGCGTGAAGGGCTTGTGATGTGAATGTCCGTGTGCATGTGCATGCATTGCAAGAAATCAGAAGGCATGTGCACCTCGTTATAGCGCCGTGCCCGTGACTCCCCATTACAATCACATCAGGGTCGACCTCGTGCGCCGTCTCTAGAACCTTCTCCCTGGCGTCCCCACACGCGCTCTTCGTCACCCACTCGCTCTTGAACGACGGCTGCGATCCATTTAGATTCAGATAGATTCATTCAAATTCGGATGGCATAGCGGCGGGGATGACGGAAGAGCGTTAAAGCAGACGAAATGCAAGGGAAAGGGGGAGGGACGGACGGACGGCAGGGAGGGAGAGGAGACGAAGGGCAGAAAGCAAGTTGCAGGAGAAGCTAGAAATCGAAAAGGGAGCAATTGAGAACGACCAATTGAGATAGGTTTCACGTGTACCTTGTCTCGTTATAGGCTCACCTTGTAAGTGCTGGCGAGTTTCTGGTACTTGTCGAGCAGCTTGTGACTATCTCGAAGGTACTGTTCCTCGAACTCCTGTTTGTAGGTCTGCGCGGCATAAAAGTCCACCTCTGCAAGAAGCCATGCCACGTCACGCCACGTTATTCCATGCCGTCACAAGAACGACAACAACGATTAAGTGAAGACGGTTGAACATACCTAGGTCCAACCGAAACGGAAAAACTCACTTATTCGGAAACGGAAAGAAAGGGAAGTAAAAGGACCGCTGAGGCAATCACCATCCCTAGGCCGTACCTTCAATCTTTGGTCGCACGTGAACGATGGTAACCCTATCGTTATCTTCGACGACCTTTTCGCACGCGTACTGTAACGCGTGGCGACTGCCCTCCGAATCGTCCACCGCGATCAAGAAATTTCGCCCCGCCGCTCCTCCCGCCGCCATGGTGGCCGGTGCGGTGAAAACTAGGTCGCAGAACCGACGAGACGGAACGAGATGGAGGGGCAATAATACGAGAGGAAACGAAAAACGGACTCCTTCTAAAGTGCAGCCTCGAGGAAGAGGAAAATCGCGAGATATAACGAGAAATAGTCACGTCAAAGCAATCCAAAGGCTTCTACTGCTGGAGACTAGGCGGCTATGCTCTATCGCACGAGCGAGTAGTACGCGAGGATACGAAGATAGCGAAGCACGAATAGAACTGGCAACCAAGACCAAGAAAGCTTGGGTTGAGGGGTGCACGCGCGGCCCTGGATTCGAGAGTCTGCGAGCCAAGAAATCGCATTCCCCTTGTCAGGTTTCCCTGAGTGGGGGCAGATACAAACGGTATCTGCAGACTCTGTACGGTTGGACAAGTTCCCAAGCGTGAAAACATCGGTGAAGTACGGTTCGGGTCCTCATTCTGTCTCGCCATGCACAATTGTTCAGCACTCCACCAAATAGTGTCACCCTCTTGTACGCAGCTGCTGAGTCATTGCCGGCAAGTCCACGGCGACCATGGCTGTCATGCAGGGCAGTGCCACGTGGACTGTGTGACACGACTACCCAGACCGACAGCGGCTGCCCCTGTGGCCGCCTGCCAAAAACACGTAAGCTCACATTCAGCAAATATCGTGCTCAATTTATTCATTGAGATTTCCAGCCTCTACTTAGGAGAAAATAAACAGTTATATCTTTCATGTATAGCCTACCTTTACATTCATATTTCTAATCAACATGGCCATCTCACCTCGACATGGCAATGGTTGAAAAATATTTTCCAGATATGCTACGGTGATCAACCAGAGTCATCAAACAACCCATTTCCCTCCATGTTACTACCAAAATACAAACCCGTTTGACCATCTTGCCTCCCGTGTCACTTATCCTGACCCATTAGACCAACTTACTAACGTCGGCTCAGCTGCAATCAGCCAACCCCATCTCACCCACTCTTGTACCATTCCACCCATCCCCTCCCTGCCTATCACATCCCATCCCACCTAACCCAGCACACCACCTAACTCGCCCATTCTTCCTCTCCTCCCCTGTCTCACCCACTCTGGCACCATTCCACCCATCCCCAACCCGTGCATATCCCACCCCAGCTCAACCACCCTACCCTATCTCAACCATCATCCCACCCTCTCTTCCCATTCTTCCAACTCACCCTTTCTTCCCATCCCACGCCATCTCACCCACCCACTCTCCCCCCATCCCTCCCCATCTCACCCAAACCTCCCCATCCCACCCTCACTTGTAACTTAGGGCCTGAACCCAATCCCACCCTATATCCAATGCCTCGGCTTGAAACTTCGGGTCAGAAATCCCCTCCCTTGACTCACCCTTTCTCTAAAGGTCTGAAATCCCCTCCCTTGACTCACCCTTTCACTTAAGGTCCGAAATCCCCTCCCTTGTCTCAATGGAACTTGGGTTCTGATTCCCCTGCCTTGCCTCACCCTGTCACTTTTCGGGTCTGAAACCCCCTCCCTTGCCTGAAATTGTAACTTGGGGTCTGAAAACCCCTCCCTTGCACCGCATGGTAACTTGGGGTCTGAAACCCCCTCCCTCGCCTCACCCTGTCACTTGGGATCTAAAACCCGCTCCCTTGCCGCGCCCTGCCACTTGGGGACTGAGACCCCCTCCCTCGCCTCTCCCTGTCACAGCATACCAAGCATACCAAGCATATCGAGCATAATAAGCGTACCAAGCATACCCAGCATACCAAGCATCCCAAGCATACCAAGCATACCAAGCATACCGAGCATACCAAGCATACCGCCGCACCTGCACCCCGCAGCCGAGTGGTCCGGCTGGGGGGAGCGCCACTTCACCACGGCGCTCGTGGCGTGCTCCCTGCGGCGTGCTCCCAAACAGCCCGCAGCACGCCGACGAGCAGCGGCGGATCTGGGTGCAGGCCTCGCTGCCGCCGACTCTGGGGGGGCTCGGCATCTCCGACCCCGCCGCCGAGGGAGGCCACTCCTACCTCACCTCGGCCAAGAACAACCACGCCAAAGAGCACCCACGCCCAAGAGCACCCACGCCCAAGAGCACCCACACTCAAGAGCACCCGCGCTCAAGTGCATCCACGCTCAAGAGCAACCACGCCCAAGGGCACGCACGCTCAAGAGCACCCACGCCCAAGAGGATCCACGCTCAAGAGCACCCACGCCCAAGAGCACCCACGCTCAAGAGCACCCACGCTCAAGAGCACCCACGCCCAAGAGCAGCAGGGATTCCCCTATTCCCCTACTCCCCTACTCCCCTACTCCCCTACTCCCCTACTCCCCTACTCCCCTACTCCCCTACTCCCCTACTCCCCTACTCCCCTACTCCCCTACTCCCCTACTCCCCTACTCCCCTACTCCCCTACTCCCCTACTCCCTATTCTATATCCTATTCTATTCCCCGTGGGGTTTCAGGCCCCCCTATTCCCTCTCACTCATCCCTCTTACTCAACATACCAGGGGGGGTGGGGGGGGGGGGGGGGTGTCAGGCTCCCTATTCCCTCGCACTCACGTTACGCGGGGGGGTTCCAGGCCCCCTATTCCCTTTCACTCAAACTTACCCCAGGGGATTTCAACCCCCCTATTCCCTCTCACTCAACTTACCCGGGGAGGTTTCAGGCCCCCCATTCGCTCTCACTCAAACTTACCCAGAGGGGTTTCAGGCCCCTAAGACTCAACCTACCCCGGGGTTTAAGGAGGGGACGGCAAGACCCTTAGGGCAACACGAGGGCAAGACATGGGAGGGAGGCTTAAAGCCCTGAGGTAAGGCGAACCCCCAGGTAAAAGAGAGGAGGGCTAAAACCCCCAGGTTAAGGTGAACTAAAGGCAGAAGAGGGGGGTCCTTCTGCCCCTCGGTCGCCCTTGCCTTGAGTTTTAACGCCCCTCTTCCCCCCTGCCCCTCACAACTTTAACCAAGAAGATTTCGACCACCCTCCCCTGCCTTGCGCCCTCACCTTACCGTGGGGTCTTTCACCACCCCTCTGTCGCCCCCCTTTGCCCCTCTGTCGCCCCCCTTTGCCCCTCTGGCGCCCCCCTTTGCCCCTCTGGCGCCCCCCTTTGCCCCTCTGTCGCCCCCCTTTGCCCCTCTGGCGCCCCCCTTTGCCCCTCTGTCGCCCCCCTTTGCCCCTCTGGCGCCCCCCTTTGCCCCTCTGGCGCCCCCTTTGCCCCTCTGGCGCCCCCCTTTGCCCCTCTGGCGCCCCCCTTTGCCCCTCTGGCGCCCCCCTTTGCCCCTCTGGCGCCCCCCTTTGCCCCTCTGGCGCCCCCCTTTGCCCCTCTGGCGCCCCCCTTTGCCCCTCTGGCGCCCCCTTTGCCCCTCTGTCGCCCCCCTTTGCCCCTCTGGCGCCCCCTTTTGCCCCACTCACTCTACTCACCTGAGGAGTTTCAGGCCCCCAATTCTCCTCTCCCTCTTGCTCAACTTACTCAGGTAGTCACGGCCGCCCTCCGTTGCCCCTCACTTCACCCACTCTAGGGGTTTTAGCCCCTGCCTTTCCTCTCATTCAAAACGCTGGGGAATCAACGCCCGTGCCATTTCTGCCCAACCACTCACGCAACTTACACTGGTGGTTGAAGAAGCCCCCCTTTTCCCCTCACTTCACCCACTACAGAGGTTTCAGCCCCCACTCTTGGCCTCAAGAGTTTCACTAACCTTACCCAGAGATTTTCAATCCCACAATCTCCTCCCCAATCTCGCAACTTACTCTGGTTAAAGAAGCCCTCCTTTGCCCCTCACTACACCAACTCTAGGGGTTTCAGGCGCCACTCTTGGCTCTAACTAACCTTACCCAAAACGTTTCACGCCCCCTTTCCCCTCCCCCTCGCACTCAACTTACTCTTCTGGTTGCAGCCGCCCTCCTTTGCCCTCACTTCACTAACTCCAGGGGTTTCAGCCCCCGCCTTTGCCTCTCATTCAACCTACACACGGGGTTTCATCCCCCTTCAACCTCTTCCACCCACTCACTCAACTTACTCTAGCGATAGCAGCCGCCCTCCTTTGCCGTCACTTCACTCACTCTAGGAGTTTCAGGCCCCACTCTTGCCTCTCACTCGAGTTACCCAGGCAGTTTCAAGCCCCCTTTCTCCCGCCCCTCGCTCTCAACTTCGGGAGAGGGTCTCAGGCCACCTATCCCCTCTCCCTCTCGCTCAACTTACAGTGGTGATTGCAGGCACCCAGCTTTCAGCGAACTCACCCAGGGGGGTTCAGGCCCCCTTGTACCACACCACCCTCCCCGTTTACCTCCCAACCCCAACCCCCCCTAACCCACCCCCCCAGCACTAGGAGCAGAACGCAACCCACTCCCCTTCGGAACCAGTAACCCCCCCATGACTCTGCCTTGAGGTGCGAATAGTGGCAGTGGAAAGTGCACGGGCGGTCCAAGACTCAAATCTTGCTTACGAAAGCGTCGTAGGAGGGGACTCCTCCCAACCAGAGCTGGCGCGCACGGCTCTGACAGGTTCCATTATATGATACGCCGTGAGGTATATTGACAGGTATATTGACAGGTATATTGACAAGTATTGTCACTTGAGGAACGACTGCCGTGCCACGCACTTTCCACTTTCCGCAGGTATATTGACAGTTTTATTGACAGGTATATTGACAAGTATATTGACAGGTATATTGACAAGTATTGTCACTTGAGGAACGACTGCCGTGCCACGCACTTTCCACTGACCACCAACCAAACAACAAGGCAGGAACCACAGAGGGTGTTGCCCCTAAGGGAGTGAGCTGCATGCTTGCTCCTTTCGCTCTGGCCCTTTCCCCAAACCCCCCCGCCCCCACCCCCCCCTCCTCCCCCTTACCTCAACAGCCCATACCTCAATAGCCGAATGGGGCACCATGATGCGAACGCGCGGGAAGGGGAGCACCCTGGGGGGAGAGAAGGGAGCACCATGGGGAACCCGAGTTGCCATGGAGCCAACTCGGTTGCCACGGAGCCAACTCGGTTGCCACGGAGCCAACTCGGTTGCCACGGAGCCAACCGAGTGGCTGGTACCTGCAAGAAAGAGACGGGAAGTGATTGGTCAACACGAGATCACGAGACAGACTGAAAGCAAAAGTGCGAGAGACAGTAGCCAATAGACAGTAGCCAAAGTGCGAGCGAAAGTAGCCAATAGACAGTAGCAAAAGTATCTCCAGAAGCGAGGAAGCGAGGGCGATTCAAAGGAATGGTCAAGGCCGAACCTGCTCTGGCTGCAACGCAACCCCTAAGACTTCAACCCTTTCCACTGCGTAGGAGGGGACTCCCAACCAGAGCCTGCGCGCACGGCTCTGAAAAGACTTCAACCCTTTCCACTGCGTAGGAGGGGACTCCCAACCAGAGCCTGCGCGCACGGCTCTGAAAAGACTTCAACCCTTTCCACTGCGTAGGAGGGGACTCCCAACCAGAGCCTGCGCGCACGGCTCTGACAAGACTTCAACCCTTTCCACTGCGTGCCCTGGTGCTCCGAGCCAGAGCCAGGCGAGCTGCTAAGGAGAATGAAGGGGTGTGGGGTGGGGTGGGGTGGGGTGGGGAGGAAAATGGGGGGAATGGGCAGCGAGAACAGGAGTGAGTGCAGGAGGGAAGCAGGAGTTGCAAGGAAGAGAGAAATCAACCAAGGCAAGGCATATCAACTGAGGGATACTGAGTGGATTTTTGAGGCGCCTCAAAAATCAACCGAGGGAGGGATACTGAGTGGGAGGGAAGTGGTGAAGAACAGGGGAATGCTCACTTAAGTGAGAGACGTGGCGAAGAATACTCTCACTCCGAATCGAGCAAATGCTCACCTTTGGGTGTGGAATCCGAACCCCTCTCAATCAGTTCGCTCCCCTCTCCACCAGCCTGCGACGCTGCCTCCAGATAGCACCAAGCGAGCTGCTGGGGAGGGGAGTATGCAGGAGGGAAGGAGAGGAGAGAAGAGAAGAGAGTGCAGGAGGAGGGAGGGAGAACTTGCAAGGAAGAGGCGAATCAGACAGCAGTGAATGCAGGGTTGAAAGAAACGAAGCAGTGAGTGCAGGAAGTATGGGAAGAGGGCTCACCTCTGGTTGCTGATCCCAGCCCGCCCTCAGTACTCCCCCCTCTCCAGCAACCATTTGCCTCCTCTGCCGCAGCTGCTGCTGCCACCACGGCTGCAAGCAAAGGCTGCTACGCCCGCTCCCCTCCCCCACTCCCCCACTCTCCCCTCCGTCACTCCAACCAAGGGCTGCCACCACTGCTGCTCTGGCCGCCTCCTCTCCAAAGCGTGTGGGCCACGCCGTGCACACAGCACACCGCCACCGGCAGAAACAACCAAGAGCTGCCACCACCACTGCTGCTCCGGCCGCCTCGTCTTCAAGGCGTGTCGGCCAAGGCGTGTGGGTCAAGGCGTGTGGGCCAAGGCGTGTGGGCCAAGGCGTGTGGGCCAAGGCGTGTGGGTCAAGGCGTGTGGGCCAAGGCGTGTGGGCCAAGGCGTGTGGGTCAAGGCGTGTGGGCCAAGGCGTGTGGGCCGCGCAGTGCCCGCAGCACACCGCCACCGGCAGAACCAGACGCACAGCGAGCCACAACCACAAACACGGGAAAGAGAAAAGTGTTAGGATCAGGCAAAAGGGGCGAGGACTCAAGCAGAGGACTCAAGCAGAGGACTCAAGCAGAGGACTCAAGCAGAGGACTCAAGCAGAGGAAGCAAGACTCGAGGCGCTTTATATGCGGTCCTACGCCCCCCCCCTACAGCTGCCCCCTTCTGAGGCGCCTCAAAAATAGCGTCCTACGCGCCCCCCCCTACAGCTGCCCCCTACTACTTCTCTGCTGCTGCCGCCGCCGCCGCAGTCGCCGCAGCTGCCACAACCGCTCCAAGCAAGGGCTGCCAGCCACCACTTCTCCACTCCTCCAAGACGTGTACGCCGTGCCGTGCATGCAGCATTCCGCCACAGTTAGAAGCAGACGCATGCACCGGCACGCCACAAGCACAGGAAACCGTGTTGGGATCAGGTGACGAGGAGCTGGACTCGAGCAGAGGGAGCTAGCCTCGAGACACTCTGAATGCGCTACTCGCCCCCCCACAGCCCTGCCCCTCGCATGTACCCGTCCCCAAGGACAGCAGCTGTGGTAAGGGCAGCAGCAGCAGCAGCAGCAGCAGCAGCTGTAGGAGAAACGCGTCGAGTCCCACGCGCGCCCATTCCCCTTGTGTTGCCACGGGCAACGCCAGGAGCAGCCTTGGAAGAGAGTGGCCCAGTGAAAGGCGTCTTGTCCCACGCGCCCCCATTCCGCCCTCATTCTGCCACCATTCCGCCACCGTCGTTGCAGCACCACTCTTGCCGCAGGCTTAAGCGCTGCTGGCTCCACCCGCCTCCTCGCATCGCAGCATGGCGAGAGACACAGACGCGCGCACAGAGAGAGAGCCACACACACGAACGACGAATGCGTGTTAGGATCCGTCGAAAATGGCGAGGACTCGAGCACAAGGAGCACGACTCGAGACGCTCTATATGCGCTACTCGCCCCCCCACAGCTCCGCCCCTCGCACGTACCAGTCGCCAAGCGCAACGGCAGCAGCAGCAGCAGCCGAGGAGGAAAGGCGTCGAGTCCAGTCCCACGCGCACCGTCGGAGTGACGCCCCCATTCCCCATGCGTCGCCACGGGCAACGGCAGCATCAGCCGAGGAGGAAAGCGTCCAGCCCAGTCCCGCGCGCCCCCATTGACGCGCGCACCATCGGATTGACGCGCGCACCGTCGGATTGACGCGCGCACCATTGGATTGACGCGCGCACCGTCGGAGTGACGCGCGCGCAACGTCGAGAGGGACGAACGCGCAACGGCGGGAGAGAGGCGCGCGCGCGCTGATCCAAGGTCCGTCCAGAGCCTCGCGGCAGAGTCGCGTGAAAATCGCTCGTCCGCTGCAAGACTGGCAGCAGTCACCGGTGTCGGTGCTGCTGCACGAAACGACAATCTGCGACGTCTCACTGCAGATCTGCGAGACAGCGGTCTTGACGCGAATCTGCGAGAATCGACAGCGGAATGAAACGACGCAGCGATTAGCGAACGAAACTGCAGGCTATAGCAGGAGCACCAACAAGAGAGCGGAAAGAAACAGACCGTTGATAGCGAAGCAAAAGTCTAGCGGCGCTATGCTTGCAACGGCGATATGCGTCGCGCGGCGATACGCGCGCGAGGGGACCGCTGTCGCAGCCGCCGCGACCCTCCGCGGGATGAAGGCCTCTCGTTATCAACCGCGCGGCTACAAACCGCTGCCGTCGACTCCACAACATGCGGTGACGACGATGGCTCACGCCTCCGCACGACGCATGGCGCCGCACCACGGCCGTTGCACCACGGCCGTTGCACCGCGGCCGTTGCACCGCGGCGGAAAACGATCGGCGTCCGGCGGCTCGAGCCTCCGCGCGGATGACTCCGGCCTCCGCGGATGCAGCGACGCAGACATCGCCCGTGGAAACGCGGAGGCAGCCATTCGTGGACGCTCTTTCAAACCGAAATTAAACCGAGCGACGCGCTTTCTAAGAAGCTCATATCGACGGGACCAGATATTTACTGCGCTGCGCTGTGATGCGGGAGCAGCGGCAGCGCGTTCAGCAGCAGATGGAGTAGCCGTACCATGAGTAACTACTGAGCCTGCGAATTTTTAGAAACCTGGAGAAAACGCAGAGAGAAATTGAGGAATTGATGAATTGATGAATTGGCGTGAGCTGACTGCCCTGCTCTGCCGCGCAAACCGCAGGAGGCTGGCGGCGGGGTGAGCGGAAGTGGGATGTGGGAGGGAAGCGGGATTTGGGGAGGAGGCACCGGAAGTAGCGCACCCAGGAGCACACGCCACTGCGGCTGTAGGCTTGGTAGGCGCGGTAAAGGCTTTGGCGGAGGCTCAAGTTGTGGCGGGAGAGTAGCGGGGGACGTTGAAGGGGAGATTGGCTGCTAGCGGAACAAAACGATGTGAAAATCGGTTTAAAGTGGTTTAATGGTAAGTTATCGAATCATTTTGCACCCCAACTTCGATCGCGAGATATACGATCGGTTTGCGAAACAATGTCACTCGGTTGCGTTTCGCAAGTTTTTGGCGGCGGAGGTTTGGTTGGGGGCCGTCGCGCATACCCACCAAGTGGCGGAGGTTTGGCTTCGAGGCCGTGGCGCAAGGCAACACCACCAAATGTGGCTTCCCCCACCAGACACCCCCTCTCATACTTCTCTCGGCTTTGCGCCATCCTCCTCCTGACATGCCGCCTCGGCGGAGGCTGTCCTCAGAGGCTGTGATGCATCCCCGTTTGTGGCCGGGAGGATGGCTCAGCAATGTATTTTCCTCCACGCGTATTCCAGTATTTTACGCACTCCACTATCAAAACGTAGGCATAGTAATTCTCATTAATTCTCCTACCCAATCTATTGCCTCTAGAACAGCAGTTGTTGCTCATCCACGACCCAAAACAAACAGCTATTATAACACCCCCTTACAGTCAGAAGTTAGAGGCGCGTGCTCAACTATCAACGATAACACTACTTGAAACAAAAATCACAACAACGATGTTATGCAAAACCACCCTGCAATATCCATTCATTCTACCGTCACACTCTTGGCGAGGTTCCGAGGTTGATCCACATTGTATCCCCGAATGACCGTCAAATGGTACGCCAGGAGCTGGAGAGGAATTATGTTGATAACCGGCTGCAGGCAGTCCTCCACATGTGGCACTTCGATGATCTTTGCCGCACCATTGGGACACATGAGATCCGCATCTCCCTCAGAGCAAATCACAATCAATCGGCCGCTGCGGGCCTGCAATTGCTGAATCACCGACTGCTGCTTGCTGCATTGGCAGAAGGAGGGAGGAAAGGTTGGAGAGGGGAGCACAAGCGAGGAATGATAGCAGTTCCGGCAAGACTGGCAGTCTCTGAAGAAGAGGTTCAACCATCCGCGATGCCATCCTACACCCCACCACCAACTCCTCACCTACTCACAACCAGCAGCTCTTGACCCACCAGTACTTGTCATCTCATGTCACCTCACAGCCAGCACCTCTCACCCCCTCCATTTACACCCCCAGCTCAAGCTCCTCACCTGCGCCTGTCGTCTCGTGTCCCCAGGGCGAGCGGGCCATGCCTCATCTCGCCAGCCAGAGTGCAACAAGCCAGCTGCTCACATAACCTTTAACCAGCACTCGACTGCATGTGCCGCCTCTGGTCGCCACCACAAGATGGCAGCGTGGCATCAACCAGAGCGAGCGGGCTGTGCTCTTGCTCCCATCACATGCAGCAGCAGCTCTTGCTCACCTACCCACTGCCAGCACCGCTTCGCAACTCACCTGCACGTGTCGTCTCTTGTCGCCACAACTATAATCGGCAGTGTTGCATCGACCAGGGCAAGCGGGCCGTGCTTCATCTCGCCAGCCAGGATGCCCTCGCTGTGCATCAGCGCCACCTCCTTCACCTTCAGCGCGCCCTCCACCGCCGTAGCGTAGTTGTACCCGCGCCCAAACACCAGCAGGCTCTGCTCGCCCGACAGCTCCCGGGCTAGCTGCTGAATTTCAGAGTCAAGCCTTAACACTTGACGGACCTTCCCTGGCGAAGGGGAAGAGGGAAAAAGGGGGGTGGAGAATGAGTAGTGAAGGGTCGAATGCCCTCGCTGTGCATCAGCGCCACCTCCTTCACCTTCAGCGCCCCCTTTACCGCAGTTGCATAGTTGTACCCGCGCCCAAACACCAGCAGGCTCTGCTCGCCTGACAGCTCCCAGGCCAGCAGCTGATGGGAGATGGTTGGCATTGCAGGTCGTCTGTGATCGCTGTCTAAGAAACGAGCTGCAACTGTAGGATTATGAGTGCAATGGTGGGTGCAATGGTGGGTGCAATGGTGGGTGCAATGGTGGGTGCCATGGTGGGTGCCATGGTGGGTGCCATGGTGGGTGCCAGGTACTCATCAGCACAAGAGGCATACTTACTGGGCAGGTCAATGAGCCCGTCGATGATCCGATCTCTCCTCTCCCGTGTCGAGATGCTGTCCTCCCCAATCGCCAGCGCCATCATCACCAGCACTGCAATCTGACTCGTGTACGCCTGCAGTGGTTACAATAGGGCAACCAAATAGAGGCCGAAGCGACGTGAAAATGGGGTCAGAGTTGCTTTAAGCACGACCATTTTTGCCACTGAAGACAACAGCCAGCCCGCTGAAAAGTCCCAACCTGGTTCATGCAGATTCCTGGCAATAGCCTTTATTCTGCGAACTCACCTTGGCACCTTGGTGCTGGCAGCTTACCTTTGTACTGGCGACGCCAATCTCAGCACCCGCATTGATGAACAGCCCGCAGTGCGTTCCCCTGGCAATGGCACTCCCCGCTGTGTTGGTCACGCCCACACACAGTGCGCCCCCCTCGCCCGTGCATACTCCTACCTCTTGCCACCAACACACACTCTAGTACGAGCAACATCCAGCACTCACCTTGGTGCTTGCAACGCCAATCTCAGCACCGGCGTTGATGAACACCCCGCAGTGCGTCCCCCGAGCAATGGCACTCCCCACTGTGTTAGTCACGCCCACGCACAGCGCCCCCCTCGCCCTTGCATACTCCAGCGCCGCTAGCGTGTCCGCCGTCTCGCCCGACTGGCTCATAAACACCGCCGTATCCTCCCTATAGACAGGCGCGCGTCTGTCCAACATGTCACTAGCCAGCTCTAACTGCACCGCCACCCCTGAGAGCTCCTCCAGCAAGGGACGCACGGCCAGGGCTGCGTTGTAACTGGTCCCGCACCCGACGAAGATAATCCGCCTGCTGCGACGGATGGTGAGGAGGTGCTCTTTCAAGCCGCCAAGAAGCACTCCTTTCTCCTCTGCCCACGGGTTAGAGCTGCCGCGGCTGTCATGGGTAAGCTTGGAGAGAGGGGAGAGGGGCGGTAGCCCGGAAACCCCCCCTGCTGCTGCTGCTGATGATGACGGGCTGCTCCCAGCTGAACCCGAACCAGGAACAGCGATGGAAGCGGTGGTAGACGCAGAAGCGATGCCAGCTGCCGCCGCCGCCGCCGCTGCCGCTGCTGCCGCTGCCGAGGGTTGGAGCGAGCTGGCGACAGCACAGGCATTGGAGGCAGTAGGGGAGAGCGAGTCCGCCTTGCCGTGTATCAGCCTCCCTCTGAGCGTCGTGGTGAGACTCTCTGGCTGTTCGTGAATCTCTTTCTGCATGAAGTGATCATAGCTGCCCTTCATTATCTGCTCTACCTCCATCTCCAGGGTGGATAGAGCGCGTTGCAGTGCGGTGGAGGGCGGTAGCCCCCTCTTGGCCTTATCTGGCTCATATGAAAACAGTGAAACCACGCCATCCCTGATATGCACCACCTCGTTATCCTCTATAACCATCACCTTCTTCGTATGCTCCACAACAGCACTCGCATCACTCGCTAAAAACAGCTCCCTGGGGCCAGTCGCCGCACCCCCCCGCACTAGCCCCCCCTCCTCGGCCCCTACTATGTCGAACGCGGACTTGACTCGGCCGTCTGAGGGGATTTTGACTCCGAGGAGGAGCGGGCTGCCGCGCTTGCAGGCGACGAGCTGGTTGGGGAAGTGCGGGCTTTTGAAGAGCAGCGCGTAGGCGCCCTCCAGCTGCCGCATCACCTCCATCACCACCTGGGTAAACGCCACGCGCTCGCCTGGCGTGTCGCCGTTGGCTGATCGGGAAGGGATAAGGGGAGGAGAGAGGGCAGGGATGTAAGGGAAGGAGAAAGAGCAGCGCGCCTTCCAGCTGCCGCATCACCTCCATCACCACTTGGGTGAACGCCACGCGCTCACCAGCACCGTCGCCGTTGGCTGATGGTGAGAGAGGGGGTATGGGAGGGAGGGGGTATGGGAGGGGGCAGGAGAATGCAAGGGCGAGAATGAGGGGGGATGGAAGCGGACGAGGGGGGAGGGATGAGAGGTCTGCTGCGCTTGCAGGCGACGAGCTGGTTGGGGAAGTGCGCGGTTCTTGACGACCCCCTTGTACTACCCGCCCCTCCCCTGCCTGCGCTCTTCTTGCTCCTGGCGCCGACGAAGTTGGCCATGGCCTCGGCGCCGTGCCCGCCCTCCGACTGCAGCAGATTGACGTAGACGAAATGGGGAGCTACAGAATCACCTCTCGCTGTCCGTCCCTCCTGCCGTCCCTCCCGTCGCTAGTACCCGAACCCCCTTCTACTACCTGCCCCTCCGCAACCTGTGCTCTTCGTGCTCTTGACGCCGTTAGTCAGGCCCTCGCCGCCGTGACCGCCCTCTGACTGCAGCAGCTTGTACTAGACGAACTTGGCGAGCTTTGGGATCACTCCTCGCTCTCCTTCCTCTCGCTTCTCCTATTCTTATTCTCAACCATACTCCCCACCCATCATCCCAACGCTCCTACCTGCGCTCCCGTTGGCCAGGCCCTCGCCGCCCTGCCCGCCCTCGGACTGTAGCAGCTTGTCGTACACGAACTTGGCGAGCTTCGGGATCACCTCCGTGTCCGTCTCCGACTCGAACGTGAAGCCCTGCCGCTGCAGAGTGCCCTTCAGCGCCTGGGGAGGACGGGGAGAGAGGCAGAAAAGAGGAATGAGTGGAGTCACGAACTTGGCGAGCTTCGGGATCACCTCCGTGTCCGTCTCCGACTCGAACGTGAAGCCCTGCCGCTGGAGAGTGCCCTTCAGTGCCTGGGGAGGGGATGGGAAGATGGCAGGAGAGGGGGTGGGGGCACGAAAGAGCGTCGGGATCACCTCCGTGTCCAAGCAATGGTGAAGCCATGGGGCTGCAGAGTGCCTTTTAAAGCCTGGGGAGGGGGTGGGGAGGGAGTGTGGGGTAGTGTGAAGGGAACTGGTGAAGTTTCGTTACTGTTAACAACTCTCAAGTTGGCTGCATGAACTCGACAAAAGCTCGTCTTCTAACCAGGCTCCCCTAAAACTCTCTCCCAAACGCACTCTCGCCTATGGGGTTCGTCTTGTTGTATTAACCTACAGATTTGATGGAAATAAGGCCTCCGCAGCCCACCTGTCATCTATCTACGACTCTGCGTCCATCTCTGACTCGAATGTAAAACCCCGCCTCTAAAGAGTGCCAGGAAGGCACGAAATGCAGGGTTCAGGGCTCGTTGCAGAGTCAGGGAGGCAGAGGGAAGGAAAAAGAGCAGCGTCTGAACCAGGAAGACACCCGGTTTCCTACCTCGTAGTTGGCGATGATGCCGTTGTGCACCACCAGGAAGTCGTGCTTCGGGCACCGGATGACTGGGATTGCGAGTGGCGGGGGGTTGGGGGGTTGGGGGGGTGGGGGGGGGGGGGGTGTTTTGACAGTTTCACGAGGAAACACCTAGTCGTGTTACCTTGTAGTTGGTGATGATGCCGTTGTGCACCACCAGAAACTCGTGCTTCGGACCTGACGACTGCGGGTGCGAGTTGCGCGGGGAGGGAGCGCCGTGAGTGGCCCACCGCGTGTGCGCAATGCCCACGTGGCGCGGGAACGCGCGGCTCATATCTATCTCGGATTCCGCAACATCTGCTCGAGGTAAAGTTAGAAAGAAGGGAGGGGAGAAAGGAGGGGGGGAGCGGGGATGGAGAAAGCGGGATACAAGGAGGGAAGGGGAAGGAAGCTCTTGCATTAAATCGTCTATTTCCTGTGTGTAAAACGGCAATGAAGGATACAACCAAGTGAGTTAGTTGCCTTTGTGCGTTACGGATCTTACCTTGGCGAACTTTCTTCACGAGGTTAGCAATCTTCCCCTTCTGTCGAAACAGCAGAGGTTCTGCACCCTTGCGCTCTGATGGGGTAGCATTCGTGATGTCCGTGAGAGATTTCGTGAGGCCGTTCATTTCGCCGATCGCTGCTGACGTGGCGATGACCACCTCTGAGTCATCATCGGCGTCAACGCTGATGCCAGCGGAGTCGTAGCCTCGGTACTCGAGCCTCCTAAGACCGTTAAATAGTATTTCAAGGATTTCGGACCGCTGCTTTGGGACCTCATAATTCAAGTAGGCGAAGATTCCGCACATTATGGCTCAAGAAGAAAACTCTGGAACGGAAACTTTGGGACTGAGGGAAATGTTGCTGCTTGCTTACTTCGACGAGATCGTCTCTGACGGATCTCTGACGAAGATGTGAGGCTGTCCAAACTACCAAAGTATATGCTGTATATGAGAGACGAAGGTCTTCAGTTTCCCCTTCTAAACCTAGCAGCAGCGGCCAGATGGCAGCTCCTCGACGGCTACTTTGTAGCTTGCGGTTAGAAACGTTTCTGAAATGAAACCGGATGGTCAAAACAGCGAGACACTGTTGAGACGGTCCGCCGTGTCCTCTCCGCTCTACTCCCTGCCCCCTGTGTCTAGATAAGATAAAAGAGGGGAACGGTTGGTGGTGGTGAGACGAATCACCTCGCAGGCGGGCTGCGAAACTAGGTTGGTCAGTCAAGATGTCTATCTACTACAGTGCGCACCAGCCCCGGACGGCTCCTGCCTGGTTCCCCCGTTTCTTGAAAGACTCTGCTCCTACCTATCACGAGGATTCAGAAATGACGGGCATTAGTGCCAGCGTTGGGTATCTCTGCTCTTTGAAAGAACCAGCGAAGCAGAAGCCTCTCCGCGTGATATTGCCGTGTGCAAGAAGATGGGTTCTCTTGGGAACTGCGAGGTGTGAGTTCTCTTGGCCAGGCTGGTTTGGCGGGAAATTTATCTGAACTCCCTAGGCCTGCTCGCCTGCCTTGATGGCGGGACAGAGGTTCGGAACTTCCTTGAGCTCTGCTCAGGGGCAAACTCCGAGGGTCTTTCATAGATCTATGGAGGAGATGGCAAGTAAAATGGCGGAACCAGACCCACGCCAGCTCAGCCTCGCGACTACTGACCTCAACGCAGCCTGGATGGAAGAATCCGATTGGTGGAAGGACCGACCAAGGCCTCCAAGACTGTCCAACTGCACCTGCTTACAGGCTTCCTTGCCTGCTGGCCCTCTGTTCGGAACGAGCCTGCCACGCTGGTAGGGTACTAGGTTGTGCGCCAAGAAGCAGGGTGAGGGACAACAATTTGTCCATGACTCGTCCCCCTTGCCCGATACAAGCGGCTGCCGAGCCTCAGCCCCTACTGACAAGCAGTTTGACTGGTCGGGCCCAGCGTCAGCCCGAACGGCTACGTCTTGTACACCCAAATCTGTAAGTCACATGTTAAGCTAAATACGCATACCACTAGCAACAGCAAACCTATGAGAGCACGCATGATAGTAGCTTCATAATATGCTTGGACACGCGAGATTGAATATGTAAATGGGTAATCAGGGGTGGGGCGGTTGCAAATTGAGAACTAAAAAATTTATAGTAAAAGCAACAAAAACCGGCTGGTGGGGTGTTCCGAGAACTGAACTCGGGACCTCTCGCACCCTAAGCGAGAATCATGCCACTAGACCAAACACCCACGTTTCGGAGGTGAAAGTAATTAATTTTAGCTATTGTTTTATAAAGAGACGACCTTCTCCATTCTCATGACAAGGTTACTTTTGGCGACAATGGCGCCTGTCGACTCGTCCTTAGACGTGAAACGTTCAGAAGAGATTAAGGAGGCAGCTAATCGTGCGTTTCAAGGTATGAGCTTGTCCGCAGCGCCTCATTATGGCACCCTTATACGAACGACAGGTCAGGGGATGAGTCATGTCCATCCCAGGCTGGGATTGCCTCTGCCTCACGCCTCGTCGGACGCGCGGATTGGAGTAGCTCGATAAACCATGCCGCGCGATCGCCCTCTGTCAGCACATCGCTGTCCCTTGACGGATTTGAGTAGTTCGATAAGGCCTTGAGGGGGTGACTTGTGAAGGTTCATCTGTTAGTAGAGTATAAGGACCTGTCAGAGGTCACTGACAATGGCGTGTTAATGACAGGAGTGGTATTCTTAGGTTGTCTGGTTGTTAGGCTCCGCGTGCTGCCTTGGTCGTCTCTGCGGCTTGTCCTCGGATCAGGCGATTGTTCAGTTTGAACGATGTGTGCCGTGCGTAACGAACGGTCAGGATGGTCTTTCCCAGTGCTCCGATGCAACCCGATCCGTTGATCTGTGCTGATCATACATTTGATCCCTTTTCTCTCACCGTTTCCGTCTCTGCTTGCCTGATTGTCTCGTGCATTTTGGTGTCCAATCCCCTGTCCCCTGTCAACCCATTCTCTCCCTCTCTCTGGCAAATGTAACTAGCTGGACATCAGTGTCGAGACTCCGTGTGTTATGAGTCTAATTTGGAGTCGACTCAAATGTAACTAGCTGGACATCAGTCTCGAGACTCTGTGTGTTATGAGTCTATTTTGGAGTCGACTCAAATGTAACTAGCTGGACATCAGTCTCGAGACTCCGTCTTGTGGCTTGCTGGATGTCAGTTTATGAAAGGACGTCATTCAACGAAGCATGACGTCGTCCAGTTAAGCATTATGCCCTTCAGTGAAGCAGTGATGCCTCCGCCACTCACCCCCCCCCTCTTCCCCTCCCCCCCCCCACACCACCCCCCCTTCTCTCCACCCTTGTTGCATATTCCCCTTCAGAGCACAAGTTCCTGCATGCGGTTGACCTCTAAACCGATGCCATCCAGCTCAATGAGTCCAACGCCATTCTCTGAGCCAACCGCTCACTATTTTTCTCTCAACCCTCAACCTCCCCCCCACCAACCCCCCCCCCCCCCCCCCCCTTCCCCCTTTCCCCTCCCCTTCCCCCGTCACTCAGAGCACAAGTTCCTGCACGCAGTGGACCTCTACACGGACGCCATCCAGCTGCATGAGTCGAACGCCATCCTCTGGGCCAACCGCACTCCGTTCTTTCTCTTCCCCCCCCATATCCCTCCTGTCCCCCGCCATTCAGAGCACAAGTTCCTGCACGCCGTGGACCTCTACACGGACGCCATCCAGCTCAATGAGTCCAACGCCATCCTCTGGGCCAACCGTGCGTTCGCCCACACCAAGATCGAGGAGTATGGCAGCGCCGTGGAGGACGCAGCTAAGGCCATCGAGCTCAACCCGTCGTATGTCAAGGTAACATTATTTGTCGTATGCCAAGGTACATCTGGGGGTAGAAACCTTGTGATAAAGGCGGGTCTGTACTCAGCGTTCGCCCACACCAAGATAGAGGAGTATGGCAGTGCGGTGGAGGATGCGGCCAAGGCCATTGAGCTCAACCAGTCGTATGTTAAGGTATGTCTATTTGTGCTAGCATCTGGGGGTGAAACCCCTTACATGTCATGTCAGGGTGGGTGGAGGAGTATGGCAGTGCGGTGGAGTTCGCGGCCAGGGCCATTGAGCTAAACCCGTCTTATGTCAAGGTACATCTGGGGTTGAAACCTTGAACGATCGGTGCTGTCAGGTTGGTGCCACTAAGTTCAGGCCATGTTGAAAGCCCAAACTAATGAGTTTTTTTTTTTTTTTTTTTTTTTTTTTCGCCTTTCTCGCCTTCCCTCCCTCATTCCTCCAGGGTTACTATCGGAGAGGTACAGCACACCTGGCAATGGGCAAGTTTAAGGACGCCCTTAAAGATTTCAAACAGGTATGTGTTACACCCCGGCCACTCCGGTATGTGTCACCTCTTGCCCTTCCCCACCCCGGCCTTACAACGCTCTATTATCTATATCCAGCCTATTTTTCCCAGCGACTCTTCCTGTTTTTGTTGCTAAGCCAGATTTTCCTCTTTTGCCAAGCCAGGCCTGTTCTTTTCCTTCCCGCCCCTCTCTTTCGCCCACTTCACGCTTCCTTTCCAGGCAGCAAATGCTGCTACAAGGGAACCAAAACCCTGGTTTTGTTCCTCCGATTCCTGTCCCTCTCCTATACAGGCTGCAAGAATTGCCCCAAGGGATCCGTACTTTTGCGTGCAAGAAGCTGAGAGAATGTGAGAAGGCGGTGAGGGAGGAGGCGTTTCTGACGGCGCTAGAATATCCCTGCTTCTGTTCCTCCCTCTCCCATGCAGGCAGCAAAGATCGCCCCAAGAGACCCAGACGCGCGCAAGAAGCTGAGGGAGTGTGAGAAGGCGGCGAGGGAGGAGGCATTTCAGAAGGCTCTTTCTGCTCGCTCTGTCTACCCCCTGCTCTGCCTGTGGTCATCCCTTCCCCTCGTCCGCTCCCCTCTCCCATGCAGGCAGCAAAGATCGCCCCAAGAGACCCAGACGCGCGCAAGAAGCTGAGGGAGTGTGAGAAGGCGGTGAGGGAGGAGGCATTTCAGAATGCCATAGCCAGCCCGGACAGTGGGCCCGTGGGGTTCAGGGACTTTGGTGTCGATGTCAGCAGCATAGGTGAGCTTGACCTGCATTGATCTGCATTGACTTGCGTTGACCCTTGAGTCAGAATGCCGTAGTCACTCCTGACAGTGGACCCGTGGGGTTCCGGGACTTCGGTATCGACGTCAGGAGTATAGGTGAGCTGCCTTGCTTTGACTTGCGTTGACTTGGTCAGCAGCACAGGTGAGTTGACTTGCACGTGACAACTTGCATGCATGCAATTTCTCCTCACATGAATTGCAGATGTGCAGGCGACCTATGATGGGCCGTGCATGGGGGGCGAGGAGGTGACGCTCGTCCATAGTGACCTCCCACACTCACTCATTTTCACGAATTCTCATCTCATGTAACGCATGTAACCACCCTGCAGACGTGGAGGCGACGTACGACGGTCCGCGCATGGAGGGTGAGGAAGTGACGCTGCCCTTTGTTCAAAAGATGATGGATGCTTTCAAGAACCAGAAGAAGCTGCACAGAAGGTGCGCAGAAACCAGTAAAGTTGGCGCCTTTTGGGTCGACTCAAAGGCCACCTCATAGCTCCCCTTTGTGCACAAGTTGATGGGCGCTTTCAAGAACCAGAAGGTGCGTTGCGTTGCCGATGCGTGCGAGGTGCCTTGTGAGTGCACTCACATCACATCTGCATCTCACATCACGGAAGCAAGAAAGGTACACTTCAAACCAGAAGATGATGATCACTTCACGTCTGTGCAGAAGATGATGGGCGCATTCAAGAACAGAAGAAGCTGCACAGGTGGTGTGATCTAGACGTGTCAAACACCTTCACAAGAGGTCAGTAGGATCGTTACAGAATGTCTAGTCAGCAGCCACATGCAGTTTTCTAATCCACCCTTCTTTCCTTACTATCAACCTCTCCCCCCCCCCCTCAGATACGAGGTGACGTTTGAGCCGACTAAAAAGTCATCGCGTACCTACCAGGTTCTCTTTCAGATACGGGAGCAGCTGCGGGAGCTTGCCATCACTTAGTGTTTGAGGTTCCCCATACCGCCCCCTAAGCTGGCCCCGTATCACCTCTCCCCCGCCCCTCTCCTCCCCGTTACCCGATTCCCCACTTCCAAGATACGCGTAGTACCAGATTCTGTTCCAGATTCGGGAGCAGTTGCAAGTGCTATCACCACCTGGTGTGTTTGAGGCTCCCATACCACCCTCTCTCCCTCCCTTCTCGTCCTTTCCTATCCTCTTCGCCCCCCCCCCCATATATGCGTATCAGATTCTCTTTCAGATTCGGGAGCAGCTGCAACGCTATGCCTTCATGTGCCTCTGTCTCTCCGCTCCCAACTCTCCCCTCCCCCCAGATACGCGTACCAGATTCTCTTTCAGATTCGGGAGCAGCTGCGGGCTCTGCCCTCACTCGTGGACATCCTTCCTTACTTACCTTCCGGTCACCCTCTCTCTCCCAACCCCTATCACCCCTCTCCCCCCCCTCCCCCCCCCAGATACGCGTACCAGATCCTCTTTCAGATTCGGGAGCAGCTGCGGGCGCTGCCGTCACTTGTGGACGTTCAAGTGCCCGACGGGCCAACACATTACAGTCTGCGGAGACATTCACGGGCAGGTGAGGCTTCACGGGGTAGGTCATTCATTCATGGGCAGGTAACTGAGACATTCACGGGCAGGTGAAATTTTGACGGATCAATATAGCCACCCACCCTCTCCTTGACCTTCCTTCCAGCACCCCCCCTTCCCTTGACGTTTCCTCTTCCATCTCCACTCCCCCTCCTCCTTGCCATTACTACGACCTAAGAACAACCTTGACCTCAACGGGCCCGTTAATCTCGGCTCCCCACACCAACCCTGACGACTTCACCAACCACCCCCTTCCCCACTCCCCCATCCTTCCCCCCCCCGCCAGTACTACGACCTGCTCAACATCTTTGAGCTCAACGGCCTCCCTTCAGACACCAACCCGTACCTGTTCAACGGGGACTTTGTGGACCGGGGGAGCTTCTCAGTGGAGTGCATCTTCACGCTCTTCGCTTCAAGTGCTCTACCCCACCGGGTGAGCGCCGGGTGCCCCCTTCTTAGCCCATAGCTGCAGCACTTTCTAGCGTGACGTGAACTCCCCTCAGACACCAACCCCTACGTGATTTTTGAGTCGACTCAAAAATCGCTCAACGGGGACTTCGTGGACCGGGGGAGCTTCTCAGTGGAGTGCATCTTCACTTCACGCTCTTCGCCTTCAAGTGCCTCCACCCCACCGGTACGTGCGAAGCTTCGCCTCACCCCACGCTGCAACACGCGCATAGCTCAACGGGCTGCCCTCAGACACCTCAACGGGGATGTCAGTGCTCAACACGGAACTCCATACTGCGGGAGCTTCTCAGTGCTCTTTGCCTTCAAATGCCGCTACCCTATCGTAGACATGGGCATGAGCCAAGCCTGGCTCGGCTCGAGTCGAGCCGGGCACCAAACATGCCTGGCTCGGCTCGCATTTCTGTGGGCGAGCCAGGACTGGCTCGACGGCGAGCCGGCTCGGCTCGACTCGCCTAGCATGCGCTTAAGCCAACAGTAGTGTGGGTGGAGCCTATGCAAGCGCGCGTTGTTAAGAGTGGCGCGGGCTGCCTAAGATTTCTCGCGCAAACTAACCTAATGAGACACTCCTAGGCG